CCAATGCAATAGACAACGCACAATGAATAACTTCCAATGGTTTACCCTGTCAAACGCTTTTGTTGCATCCATAAAACAAGCAAAAACGGGCGAGTTGTGACTTTTATAGAAGTCGACAATTTCCTTCACTACGAAGATACACATTTCTGTTGAATGCTTGCGTTTAAACCCAAACTGAAAATCACTAGTCTCGATAAATTTTTCAATTCGATTTAAAATGCACAACTCAAATAATTTCGATAAAACGGTTACTATAGCAACAGGTCTATAGTTAATGAAATAACTGAAATGATTTGTTATATTAGTAAAATACTGCCAGCCATCCAAGACTCTGAAATGTTTTCGAACAAACTCCCCGCACTCGTTGTGCGATATGCGTCAGATCGGTGTTGAGAAGACGCCAACTTGTAGCGTCAATGGTAGTAAGGCTCCACATTGATTACATCATACGCTGACTGCATCATCATTTCAGTCAGGGTTATTTCCAATCTGATTAAAATCTGATGTAGTGTACGGGCTTTAATTATTTTGGCTATAAACTTATTTTAATTTAATTTTTATTACTTTTGTTATTAATGCCCTTTTATTTTATTATTTTACTTTGATTTTTTTTTTTTTTTTTTATATAATTCTGCCCTACCTACATCTGACCCGATGCCTATGTAACAAGATTTCAATGAGACCCACTATCGACGATTTTAGTCAACGAATCACAGACCTCCTTCTATAGCGCACATGATGACGTCACCGGCCAGAGTCAGGTGGCAAACACACTCAAATAAAATGGCGGATTATACCGACGTTAGCGGCCGTGAATAACACGGCTTTTCGGTAAGTTTATCATTGTCAAACGAAAGTCATTTTTATGTTAACAATGTGGCTCGAATGATCCGACTTTAGATCGTTATTTCGCAAAGTTATTCTGGGAGTGACGATTTTGTTTCCACCGGTTCGACCGAACACCAGTGTCTTTTTCCAGTCGCCTGCCCTGGAGACGGCTGCTGATGTTTTGTTGACGATCGGGCCAAAATCCTCTACGGTATTGAAGCTGTAAATATTCATCAAATTGTATCAACATTTCGTACATTATACAATAACTCTTTATTAAAGTAATTGAGCTGATTTGGACTGGAATAAAATATTTTTT